GGATATTATAAATTCTTCCGTTTTTGTCCTTTTATTACAAGCTGCTTTATTGAGCGTTATATTTTGCTTCATTGATAGAACTTGATGCTTTGTTGCCATGTTGTACATACATATAAAACTTCTGCCTGTAGTGGAAGAAGGAAAATGTTCAAACAAGTATCAGAGATGTACTTAAATAGACATTTTTAATAACATTTCATGATCAGAGAATGGGTGTATGCATGTCCTTTTACAGTGGCCAAATCAGTTTCAAAAGGATTGCAAGTAATATGTAAGTTTAAAATTCCCACTAAATCTACTTTCTTGTAGTTTCATCTGATCCGCCAAAGATAATGTAAACTAGTGCTAGAAATTCCTAATTAGCATTGGGAGAATAGGTAAAACTATTTCTGTCTAAAGGATTTAGTTGTAAGTGAAGAAGAAATTTATTTGTCATCGTAAATAAACTCTGAAGTTTATCAGGAGATAATGAATATATGTTAAGAAAGCAAATTTTTATTGTTTCATTGGAATTTTTTATAAAAGTGACATTTCTTGTACTTTAATTCCAATTATTTTTTTTTTATTTTTCTTTCTCTCCCCTTTTTGTGTATGTATGCAAGTTTGTATAATCAAGAGGATATAATTAAAATACATTCAAAGCATTTTTTCAGTTTTTTGACATTACCTGTTTTGCATTATTATTTGTTTTACGTTAAATACTTTTGACAGTGTGGTAGATTAAAAGCAATATTTTTAATAATATCCCTGTTTTATTTCAAACTAAATGTAGTTTTTAGCCCTTATATTGGTTTTATTTGAATATACATGCATGTTCAAAATGAAATATTAATTTCATCATGTGAAAGGCAGTTTTGAAATAAGATGGTGCATATTAAACAGAAAATACAAACTGGAAGTATTATGATAACACACAAAGAGGAAGGAAACTAGAATTGGTTGAATTAAATGAAAATGCATACAGTACAAGTGCATAATATAGGAAAGAATTTATGATATGTATGAAAAGTATGAATATGAAGAATGTGCAAATGTCTTAAAATTTGACAGAGCCCATCAAGTCTTTAAATGACCCACTTGTTCTCAGTGAATTTAAATGGAATACATATATGTGATATGCAGAAGTAGAAACCACAGCTTCTTACATTTATAAATAACAGTATGAGACCAGCTTGCTTTTGTGATGGTTTTGGAAGCTTATTTTATGTACCTTCTGATTTTTAACCATCTAGTATGCTCATTCTTCTTTATGTAAATATTTCTGATGAACAAATACATATTGTATAGTTTTTGTAATATTTTACATGTTAATTTTAATGTGTAAATAAAATATATCTTTAAGAAAAACAAAGAATATGTAAAAGATTTTAAATTATCAATGTAAATTTCCCTAATCAATTCTAAAAATATTAACCTCTCTTTTCACTGCGTCATTTCTAGATTAATCCATGTCATATGACTCTTACATTGAGAACCAACACTAGCTCAGTCTGAATTAAGATTTCACTTTGAACGTAATACACTTGCTTTCTACACTTTGGCCTAGCTAGACTGCAGTATGTCTGTTCCTGCTTTCTTACTGCAAAATAATCGAAAAGGTAAGCTTTTTGGAATAGGCACAATTAATGTGCCAACTTGTTTGTGGCCACAACATGTTTACTGAAATAAAAAAGGAAGCTTTAATCTGCCTTCGGCTCCAATTTCCTATTCATTATGGATCAACACTTCTATGCCATCAAAATTTCTGTAGTCACTCTTCTAATTCTACATTGCTCCACTTTTGGCATATAAAACAGTTGCATTTCATTATGGCATGGATTCCACAAGTTCCACAAGTTGTCCAAAATATGATTATATTAGATTTGCATGCAGAGGTCATTTAGTATATGTAGATCATGATGAGGTGGTCAGTGACCGTCTGTGCATGTTAGATGTGCTTAGTAAAATTAAAATGCCAGGATATCACTTGGTTTTCATTACTTTATTAAAAAAACCACTATATCATAATTATAGCTTTGTGAGGAGCCTTATCCATTTCTAGTGGGGATGATAAATGCTATTAAAGAATTTACTGGTAAGCATTATGTATTCTCTATTTACTGGTATCATTGTGCCACTATCAACTGCCACTGATCTGAGGTAAGCCATGAAAATATCTCCCAAAGCTACCACTGACTTATTTATGCCTGAAGTTACAGGTATTGATCAGTTTGTGGTTTGCCTGGAAAATAGTTTATCCTAACGAGACCCATCAGCATTTGTAAAAAGAAATCGCAGTTCACCGAATATGTAAAATCATTTCCATTGTTGCAAGGTTCAGTCAATATAGTCACTTGCCTACTGTAGTTAGGAATGGCGATTATGAGAGGTTAACAAAGGCATACGAAAAGACATCTGCTTTGGAATCTGACATCCAATAGAATCAGGTGAACTGGGTGCTCAGATACATGTGTAGTTGGACCTACATAGTATTCAACTGTCAACTGAGCATTTGTTAGTTGCTTATTTGTATTCCCTTGAGAAAGACTGTTTCTGACATCCACATTCATAGATCAGGCATGGATGTGAATGCTTCGTGTTTGCTGCAGGTTTCACTGCCCTTCTGGATATTAGTAGTGGCAGTTCATGAGCATCTGATTTGTAACAGCATTTTGAATACTTATTTCTAGCCTTCAGGCCAAAACAATCTGACTTTTGAGCCATTTAAATCAACTGTCTTAACAGAAATTGGAAGTGTCATGGTTAAATTTTTTTAGCTCTAGCTTTCAAATGTAAATAAATGCAAAACTACTTGCATGATATTTGCATACCTGCCAACTTTTGCGAATTTTTCATAATTTTTACGAAAATGTGTTTGTCTTTACGATTTTACGATCGTAATCCATTTTTTACGATTTTTGTCCTTTTTCAAGTGTTTTTAGTGATTTTTGTCGAAATTTTAGAATTTTTTGCCAATTGCCTCGTGTTTTACCGCCAACTACTGATCCAGTAACCTACGGTTTCTCCCAACTCACCGCTTAACCAGCCAATCCAATGCGCTGAACTTGTTTCTCCCACTCTTTTCTTTGTGGGCGCCAGATTATTTTTTATCATGGATTGTCGCATTCTGTTTTTTTTTTTTTTTTTTTTTTTTTTTTTTTTTTTTTTTTTTTTTTTTGTTGTTGTTGTTGTTGTTTGTTTTTGTTTGCACGTTCTGCGAATTTTGTTAATACGTCCGTTGTTACGAAATGAGTTCAAAAAAAAAAACATATTCTCAACATTTTCGGCCTGCCTACAAAGCCGAATTTCCAACATATTAAAGAATCCTTCAAAGGAAATAACTATGCATTTTGCAACGTGTGCGTGTGTGACTTCATAATAAGTCACGGTGGAAGAAGCCATATTGTGAAGCATGTTAAGTCTAAAAAGCATGAAATTAATGCTTCGGCTTCGACAACGTCAAAGAAAGTGGATGATTTTTCAATGTAATGCTGAGTGCGAGAGAGTCTTCAGTGTTGTGAAGAAAAATAAAACTATGTTTTGTTCTTCAATTTTACCAAAAACTCTAGAAAACATTTTAATTGTTAAATGTTATGAGGAAACTAATTGTTATGACAGGAAATTTTCCAAAGAATTTTTGATATCAAAGCATGATATTAATTCTTCGTGTTCTTCTGAATTTTTATCTTTAGAGGTTGGCAGGTATGTATTTGTAAAATTTAGTATTTAGGATAATTTTAAGCAAAGAATTAAAAAATTTTCCCTGTTTTGCTTCAAAATGTGTATGCAAGACCAGTGCCGAATGTGGATTTAATTTATCGTAAGTTGTTCTTTCAAAGTATGAAAACTGCAAGTTTTGTCAATTTTGAGGATGGAAGATGTATAATTATCACTGTCTTCTCTCTCTCTCTCTCTCTCTCTTTTTTTTTTTTTTTTTTTTTTTTTTTTTTAATACTTTACATTGCTCATGATGTTAGTCATGTGGAGCTGAAAATGTTCCTGATGCTGATAGACTGAATGTTTCAGTAGCTGTTAGATTGAATATTCCAAGGCATTTTAGTTGGTCTCGCATATGCTCGGAATGAGGTGACGAATCCTGGGCAACCTGAGCTAAATATAACCAGGCGTTATACTGCTCAAATTGTGTGTGGGGGGGGGTATGGAAGCAAACGGATCTGATAAGATCTTATCCACAAAGCACAGAACTATTAATGTTCCATTTACTACTACTATAATCTGTATACTATTATCTTTGGGTATAACTATCCAAGTCAGAATGCTTGTAGTTTGCAGGAGGTAGAGAAATGCCACTGTTGACCAGAGGACCTCTACACCTGGACATGGTGATTCCAATACTGATGAAGCTATTGATGCCCTTTGGTTTAAAGCTGTACGTTGTAAGAATGTCTACATTTCAGGTCACTTGCATAACAGGATTTCTGAATTCAGGAATCCATGCTAAGTATCTGATTTTCATGATCTGTGAGTAACACAATATCTCAATTTCAGTCATCACAAGGTGTAATTAGTGTGCCTCAAACCAGCCGAAGGAACTTCTTCACAATTAATTCGGTAAATGATGCATTGAGATTTTTTTTAATTATGACTTAGAAGTTCTTATGCAAGCTTTATTAGTCTAAAACTCAAAAAAATAATTTCATGCTGTGCCATCATTTAGAGGGGGGAAGGAACCTTTAATACTCTGATTAATGATCATGTAAATTTTTTTATTTAGCTCTCTTACCAGAAAGTTAAATACTGTAACATTTCCATTTGTTAGTCAGTTGAATTCAATTTATTATTTATTGGAAGTTTGTTCATTGTTTGGAAGTCATTACTTTGTTCAAGACACTTTAGTAGTAAAACATTAGTTAATGTAAGAAATCGGAAGCTGTAAATAGTTTAAACAAATAAATTTTCGAAAATTTATGTTTTTGTTTGGTATTGTAAATGTTTCTTTTTCATGATGCTTTTAAAAAAAATTTTTTTTTTTTTTTTTTTTTTTTTTTTTTCTTTTATAGGATGAAGAAACAGCTGTTTGTGATTAGATTTTATAACATGCTCATGGAAATGTACATAATGTAATGCTAGGTAAATTTACAGAGTAACATGAATATGGCCAAGTATTCATGTTGGTGAAAATTAGCACCATGAAAGAAATGTGATCTTCAACATTTGCCTGTCACTACCTAGTTGGTCTGTGGATTTTGCATAAATCATATGCACAATCAGATCTCATTAGATGCAAATAATTTTGCTACCAGTGAGTGAACGTCACAAATACTTTTGAATATTTAATATTTAGAACTGTATACAAGGACTATGTTTCATTCAACAAGTTTTGAAATTGGTGCAGTGTGAATTCCAGTTTGATCCTTCCTAACCTGTATATACCTCATTAGATGGTTGACTTGGTAAATGGATTTTCGGATGTTGGTAAAACTTATTATTTTGAACTTGTTGCTTCTATTTATGTATTTAGTTTTAAAATACAAAATGCAACTGTAACTCATTTCAGGTGTGTAAATGTGCCTTTATTCTCAACCTAAATTTTAACAATCTGACAACTGCATGGCAGTTAATGTTTACCGTTATTGTGAAGTTGAAAATTTGAGTACTGCTTGTCAAATATGTTGATAGAATTTTCAGCATGGTATGTCCTTAGGAATATTTATAAATGAAATTATTCATTTTTGTGTTACTTATTTATTTTGAAATTTTGTATGGAAAATTATGCTCTGGGAACAAAATATGTGCTTGTAGCATTTAAATGCAATTATTGTTTATAAAGAAGTTATTTAAAGTGTTAATTTATTCAAAAAATCTGAGAAATTGGTTCCAGAGTGATATAAGACAATATTTGTACAAAGGTAAATTTATTGTATTTTGTGTGCTATTGTCAGTTCAAACAACTGTGTGCTTTTGTAGACTTTTTAAGATATGATCTAGAGATTGTCTAAATTTTGCTATTGCTTTGAAAATTTTCAGCATGCAAATCAGTACTTGATATTATTTCAAATTCTGCTTGAAATGTAATTCCAATGCAGCTTGAACAATATCAGTATTCTTAATTAAATCATCAGAAATCTTTAGTGAAGTTTTATGATTTGTTAATGTATTTTATAATCATTTTTCCATTTTACATATATTTCACATTTGGGTATGCTTTTTTTCCATTCTGAATTTTCTCCAAAAGGAGGTATTATTTATCTTGTCAAATGCTTCATAGGCAAATTGAATGTAAAATTTTATATTTAAAAAACAAGACTGTAAGCCTTATTATTTTTATTCATTATTAAATGCAAAATAAGCTGTGATACACATATAGAGATTTAAAATACTTTGGGAAAATAGCTAAAATATGTTTGTAATAGTGTCGTCACATATCACATACTTAACTTCTTTGACAGTTTAACTGTCTTGAAATTGTATGGATAGCTTGTGGAAAAGACCAAAAAATATGCTGAGGTTAAATATAGCTTCAACATAATATTCACTCGGGGCAGCTTTGAGATCATCTGTCTGAACAGAAAATTTAATACTTAATTTATATTTTTATTCAAATTTTTTTTAGCATGTTCTTGTAAGACTCATAAAACTTGTTTTCTGGATTAAAGGAATTTTTACACACATGAAAATTTACACATTGCTTTCTGATTCAGATGTCAGATAAAAACAGGTTTTGTGTATTGAGCCAGAAAAAAATTGCTATTTTCATTAAAATGTTTTTATTGGCCTTTTTTAACAAAGTTTTGGAAGTATCAGAATTAAGTAAACCCAGATTCTAATGTAAGTTTCAAAAATATTGTCTTTAATAAATTTTCTGTTAAAAGAATGTGACATGCTGCTTAATCTCAGTCTTTTTTTTTTTCTTTCTTTAATTGTAAAAAATTGAAATATATTCTTATTAATTAAATAATCTTATTCTTAGAATACGGTTATTTGATATGCCAAATACAATGAGAATAATTATTTCTGGCCGTAAATCGTTATTTTTTGTTTTGGTAATGCATTAACTAGCTGTTAACAAGGGGAAATTCAAAATGTTTTTCCCGTTATTTTATTTATTGGAAAAATAATGTACATAGATCTGCGTTGCATATAACTTCAAATTTCATCCTTTTGAGCCCATCATGTTTGAGAGTAAACGGAATATTGACTACTAACAGACGTGCATATTTTTAAAGAAAATTAAATGGACGTTTATTTTTTAGTTTGTATAACGCTGTTAAAGTTTCGATGTATTCAATGACTTTAAACTTCAAAGGAAAATTTTAAATTATTTAAAAAGAGAAGTACTCATTACATCTCGTTTTAGCAATCTGGCAGCGCTGTTGTAATACATCTACACTCCGATCTCGGATCTGACGCCGGAGAAATTTTGGATTCGACCAAATAAGGGGTGATCGGCATATTCGTAACCTCTGTGCTACCTTAAGAATGAGAATGCATTTTCGGAGCTTTGAGCACCTGTAATATTTGTAATGAATTGTGATGCCATTATTGGCGTTAATTTTATACGTAATAACTCCCCTCCCCACACGGTGCGTATGATATCCAGTTGAAACTGGAACAGTTGGTTAAGCGCAGTGGCATCCCCAATCTTTAAATGGACTCTACCTATAGTGTAGAGTGGTAAACGGAAACTGTAGTCGAAAACAGCGCGGTTTTAACGTCGCGGCCGTGAACTAATGGCTAGCGATTTTCGCTTTTAGCTATTCCTAGGTAATTAAACCGTAAAGTGTGAAACGTTTGGTTTAATTGGCCGTGGCCTATATTGTTTGATAGATTTCATATCTTATTGTATATATATATATATTTATTTATAAGATGGCAAATATTTGAATTGACACTTTTTTTTTTTTTAAGTTATGTACAATAGGCAACTTAGCCGTTTTTACTTAGTGCAGAAATTCATAGTGGGTATTAGTTATTGGTTAAAATTATTGTTTTATTAATTATGTATAGTTTTTAAGCGAATAAAAATAGATAACACGTAGAAAGAAGGAATTTTTTTTAGCTTATGTAAAAGAATATATTTACATTTAACGCAGTTGTGGGAGCTGATTTTTATATAACGACTTTATACCAAAGCCATTTTTCGCTACTTAGTGCTTTCAAGATTTTAGTTATTACTTTCCATATTGTTTTTTAAAACATATGTACTCATTTATGTATGCTACATCAGAGCTAATAAAAGTTCGTTTAATTTATGTAATGCTTCTCATTTATGGAAGTTAGGAGAGGTTTAGCCGTTTTGACTATGAAACATTCAGGTGCATATGTTATTTAAATAGTAAAAAGGAAATTATTTTGAAATAATTTTTAAAATGAATTTGCATGTTACGTATAATAAGACTTGTTTAAAAAAAATTAGTATGCAAATGTGTTCAGTTCATCTATAATGTACCAAGTAAATTCTGTGGTTTCTGATATCTTTAGAACGTTTCTTATGTTCTTTGTGCCTCAGTTGTTGTTGATAACATTTTATACAAGTTGTTTGGGAGGGAAATGAGGAAAAAGAGCAACAACACATATCTGAAATTAGTGTGTTTATTGCATTTTAATTTACATAGATTGAACGAAGAGCTCCAAAATTTGCAGTAGCCTTCTCTGTGAGTGTCATTTGTAGTCCGGGCTGTGTTTAGGATATACTCTCTCATTCCACATGTTCAAAAGCATGACTGGTATACCTTAGTCCTATTGCTTCATATTATTTATTACATTACTTAGCTATAAAAAATATTACCTCTCATGCATTCAATCTATTTCCTTAATAGTATTATCCTATGTTCAAGTAGTATCATAATTCAATACAATACAAAAAACTGGGAATAAATATTAAAAAAAAAAAAAAAAAAAATCTGGTGCAAAATTTGCAGCTTGTCCATTGGTTACAAGGGAAAAGCCTATATGGTTTAAAATACATAAATGATCATCAGTGTTTTTACTTATTTTTAATACTGGATGGGTAATAAGCATTATTAAGTCAATACATGTATGAAACTTTCATTGAGCTTGTACAGGATTAAATGTTGCAAATGAAAACCAGAGCCTCTAAACTTTGGCAGTTGTGCATGAAACTTGCTTATGTAACTTCTGCTGTTTGTTGAACTATCTTATGGCTTTAGTATGTTTTTATTCACTTGTTAACATGAATCGATTCTGCAGTTGCAGGGTTCGTACGGTCCTTAAAAGTCCTTAGATTTTTTGGAATCGATTTTTGGTCCTTAAAAATCCTTAATTTTGTCCAAAATCAGCAGAAGGTCCTTAATTTTAATCATCTGAAATTTTCGGCTGTTTTTACGACTGCCATTTTGAGTGTGAATTAGCATTTTGAAGAATATTTTTGGCGATTCACTGCCGTATATATGGTTATCTTTTGAATGGGTTCATGAGTTATAATTTGTTTCTAATATAAATGATGGGGTACTAGAGCTTCTAAGCGAAACATAAGCATTTCGAAATAAATTTTTTCTAGTAAAGAGCTTTTAAACAACTTTTTGCTTTGGGGAATGTGAATTCTTTTATTAAACGGTTTTAAATTTGGCGACTTTTCAACATTTTGGCGATTTTAAGATTAATTTCTACAGAAACTTTTTAATTGCGGGATCTGAGAATTTTTCGATTTTTTTTTTAAAACATCGTAACATTGATAAATTTTATTAAAATAATGGTAATATATTGAAATTATATTTAAAAAATAACATTAAAATAAAACATTTTTATTTTTCGCTGTAATATTATAAAGTTTCATTTTGGCAATACAATATTTTAAATCTGAAAAATAAACAAGATATAATGCTATAAAGCACAATTTACGAAACAGCTCTTAGCAAAAGCAAAATTAGCTATGTATTTAATTAAAAATTTCTTGTTTTTAATTTTTTTCATAGTAAAGAAGTATATTAAAACTTCTCATAATGTGCATCAGTTTTCTCCATTAAATTAATTTTATACTTTTTCTCTCCTATTTTTTCCCAAAATATTTCTGGCTTTTTGCTGTTACAGAATTGGTAGGGATAATTTTTCTTTAGGATTTTAGATATTGCAGCTTTGAAAGCTTAGAAGGATTTGAAGGCAAGATTTATAGACTCACAATTCTAGAAGTTTTGAGAAACATGTGACAAAATGAAAAATGTCTCCATGGTATCAACACGTAATGGATGTATTTTACAGAAAATTTGCAATGAATTTCTTAATTTTTGGAGAACATGTGGAAGAACATGAACGTTTTACTTCTGATACTAGAATCTTAACATGTTTATCTTCTCTTTATTTTCTCTACTTTTCACTAGACAGAAGCATGGAAAATATCAAAAATGCTTCTGATCTTATCACATGGGCAAGCATTATAGAAAGGGATTTTTTTATTAATAAAGAAATTGAAAACTTACAATTTAAAAGATTCATCTAATATTTCGTAATGCACATAGCTGCACTAGTTGCTAGCATTATACACATAGCTGGCACTAGGCATTTTCCCACCTGATGCAATCTCTGTTTATCCTAAATTCTGTTGCCAAGTGCCTTTCCAAATTCTGCTTCCAATGCCTGCTCTAAGTTTTAAAAGTTTTGCCATTTCTAGAGTTTGTTGTTTGGTGTGTCACTAAATTCTAAAAATTCTGCCACACCAGCTCTGTAACTGGCCTTTACAATATGTATTTCATATTTTTTTCTGAAATCCATATTACTAAAGAAATTAAATTAATCAATTTTTCTATACATTCTAAATGCATTTAGTGTGTTTTAGAATAACAGAAATCCTTAATTAAATCCAAAAATTCTAAAATGAAAAGGAAACGTGTTGGAGAAAGAAACTGAATACATAAAGGAAATTATTCTTCAAAGATATCTGCAGTTGTTATTATGTAAATTACCCAATTGTTTATGATTTCAATCTTTACTTTAATTCCCCATTTCTATTTCCTCATATGATAGAGTTATTGAGCCAGATTAAATTAAAATTAAATTGTCTAATCTTGGACCACAAGTCCACATTATTAGTTTGAATTTGACTGTTCTTGTTTAATTATGTCACTGTGAGCTTTAATTGATTTTGTTAGCATCAGAACATGCCTTTATGTTCTAAGCTCTTTTTAAATAAGAGGCTTATTTAAACCTTTGTATGATATTGTAGTTAATTTCAGACATAGCAAGGCCCACCAGAGGCCAAGCGGTAAAGACGTTGACACTGGTAGTTCGGTATGAGGTTCGAATCCCACGAACGGGTGTTTCCGTGGTTTTCTCCATGTGTAACATGTATACGAGCCAGTTCCCTTAGAAAGTCCTCCACAAAGGCATCCCTCTAGGCAGATAGCTCTCGTGTGCTTTGCCATAATTGAATAACCCAATTCAGACATAGCGATAATATGCTTCACGCCTGTCGGGAGTTCTAGACTATTTAACTTTTACCAGATCAATTAAACCCTCATAGGTACATTGTGGAGAGGTTGACAAGTTAGGAGATAAAGATGCAGAAACTAGTGAGAGCATTGATTTGCATATTGAGACAAATCTCTAATTGTTAGAAAAGATGCTTAAAGGGAAAGAAATCAATATAAACTATCCAAAATGTCTGGGAAGGTTTCAAATTAAAATGACAGATAAATATTTTGTTGACTGTTGTTGTTACAAAACATAAATGCTCTGTAGCTTTTAATGCATAATTATCTTAATATCATTTAAGAATCTGTGTCATAAATTAAATATACTTTAAACTGTGAAATTTTATTAGATTTTGATTTTAATAGGGCTTTTTTAACAAATATTGTTAAAAAATAAAATTTAATAGTGGTCATGTAAATCCATAATGACTAAGGTTATCAAACTACCTAATT